TAGACAAGCATAGATTCCAAAAACTATTTAAACACACGTTGAATTCTTATGCAGGGCTATAAAATAAAGAGAATACAAAGATGCCAAAAGTTTGAAAAGAAACACATTCTTAGCAAAAGTCTTCACTGGAAATTAATACCATACATTCAAATCCTACAGGACTCCAAAATAAGAACAATGAGATTTCATAAGAACCCTCTTACCCAGACATGGGATTTGCCAACTCGAAGGTCTTAAAATACATTTGAATGTTTGAGGCTAAGAAAACTGGGAGTAGGCCAGTGGCCACCTTAAGCGTGCATGCTTTAAAACTATTCAAAAATCCAAGTTTTTAAAACACTGTGCTGGTCAAACAAAAAACCGCAGACAGAATTCAGAGTATATGTCACGACTGTGCGAGCCTTACCATTAGCACAATAACTGGGCTTTTTAATACCAAGGTTCACAATACTTGAGTCTTTCCAGATTAAATAACACCATGCCCCATCCACTTATTAAACTGAATTAGTGTCCAAATGCTTGCTGAATTAACAACATAAACAAAAGGCTCTTCAAATATTGGATACAATCACCAATAAATTTAATGAACGAGTTGTAGAATTGTGAGCGCTGCACTGAAGTTGGCTTGCAAAGGCCTGGGAGCCTGGTGCACATCTCTTTCTAATTCCAAGTTTAATGACATCAGATTGATAGGTGACATCAGCCATTGTGAGAGTATCTACACCACAAATATCAGTAAAGCAGTACAGAACAGGGCACTTTTTCATGAGAGAAAAAGTCTCATCGGCACAACACTAAGAATTACATCTTGGTCATATATTCACTTGTTCAAATATACAATGCAAATTTTTAATTAATGACATTATAATGTTCTAAAATATACAAAGGAAAATTTAACTAGTGAGGATGAATTTCATATAATGGCTAACTTAACACAAATTTTAATAATGGCATCTTTTAGAAAGTGAATTTTAAAACCACCTAGGGCACAAACCGTATCAATAAAAGAGGGAATGTTTCTCACAAAATAGGGATCATTGTAATACTTCACAGATGCTTCTTTAGTTTAAAACAAGGTCCACTAATTACCCCATTAATTAACTTGTAAAGTTTAAATAAAAGCCTAGTGAATAAACTGTATTGATTTCATCAAATTATGAATGGAACTCAAATTAAATAACTAAGTTTTATTAGGTATACGGGATATAGAAAGTAACTCTCCTGGAATTTTAAGACTTTTTTTAAAGGGTTACTTACACAGAACTGTAACAGCCCTTCAATCCAACAATGAAATATTCGCTGTCCAGAGCAACAGCTCTGTCATTAGCTTAGCCTCCCTCTGCCTTGCCTTCTTTCATCCTTCAAGTATGTATCCACTTCAGGATTGTGTAATACATGAAAAGCACTTAGCAAGTTTCTCATACATTTAAAGGGCTTAATAAATCACACCCCATAATACCACCACATACTTTGAAGTCATTACTTTTTAAAAAACGTATCTTCACAATGGTCTCCTAGACATTAATTTTCTGATGGAAGTCTGAGACTGTTGGTGGAGACCGAAGATGAGGTGAGTCATTATGAACACAAGTTCAGTGAAGGAGCACAACACACAGACGAAGAAGGCCCAAGAAGCAAGGCACAGGGCCCGCCTGGGGATGGAAATGGAGTATTAGCTCAAAAAAAGCCTATTTTACAATATGCCAACAATAGCAGTAACAAAGCCAGAGTTTGTGGTGACTAATTATTGTAAACTATCTTTTAAAGTCACTTCAAAAGAATTTCTAAGCATTCTGTTTAAATGAGAAGCAACAGCAAGTGCTCTCTTTAAAGATGAACAACGTATAAAAAGCCACTGGTGGGGAAACCATAGGAAACCTCTTTCTAAAGAAGTAAACACATTCCTTTAAATCGTTAATAGTGGACTTCCTGGAGGGTAGTGATTTTTTTGTTAGAGGAATCCACTTTTCATTAAAAAAATTCTTTAACTATAGCTAAAATTATTAACTATAAACATGAGAGAGAAGAAACTATTCATTTTGAACTTCTCTTCAGCAAAGCATTTTTTTCATTTTTAAAATAGCTATTTGATAGCTATTAAATGATGACACAATTTCAAAGTGGTCAGAATGGTAAATGATTCCAAAATAAACATCAATAACCATGAATCAGAACTTGTAATATCCTTGAAGGACATATTCACCAATGTCATCATTATTAAAACAATTTCAAACAGAAATAGAAAATCCAGAAAACAGTATTAAAAATGTTTGCCGTTTCAACTCAACGTTCCACTTTTCCCACCAAGCAAAGAAAACCACCACCTGGAAGTTCAAGGAGCACTATGTTTACCCTACAACCACACACTGTTATTCTGGAAAATAGAAATTTAAAGTGTAGCACAGTGGTTTTTAAAGTGTAGTCTGAGGACCTCTGAGAGTCCCCAAAAGACAAGTGTCACAACTATTTTCATACTACTACTAAAACGTTATAGGTCTGTCTCACTCATGAGTTCACAAGTACACAGTGGAGTTTTCCAGGGCCCACATGCCACGTGACAGAAAAATCACTGTGATGCCAAGGGAGCAGGAGAAACTCACTGCTTCTCAGGCCAGGTGCAACAGAGATGTGCAAAACATAAAACAATGTTCTTCTCATTAATTAACTGCTTTTGGAAGACAACTAGTTTTTATTTAAAAATGGCATTTATGTTAACATGCAATGGGTTTACTGTTATATTTAAATGAATAAACACGTTTTTTAAGTATGTCAGTATTAATTTCTAATACAGTAATTTCTGATAGACACAAGCTACATAAACAAAAGCTCTTTGGGTATCTTCAGTAATTTTTTTAAAAGAGACCAAAATGTTTGAGAACTGTGAGTGCTGCCATACAAAAGCAGCCAGTTAGCCTTCTCTCCATTTTCCCAACTTCCAGGAACTGTACCAAAGAAGGTGTGTGCTGGGGGCTAGGGCAACGCACAGGTAAAGCGCTGAGAGGCTTCTTCAAATTTAAAAAAGGAATTATTTTAAGGAAGAAAGTGATTGCTTAATCTCTATTGTCACAAAAATGAGAAAAAAATATGCCTTTAAACTGTATCAACAATGTTTGCCACTCTAAAAGAAAAGAAAATTCTCCTTCCAGAGCAAAGACAGGAGAGAAGATCTGATTGAACCAGTAAGCCAGAAAATTTGGAGTTCTTCAGACTTGTCCTCCTCTTCAGTACTCAACACAATTCTGATGGGTCTATATAAAACCAAAAGTAAATCTGAATAGGAAAGTCTAACAGAAGTGAATTTAAATCCACATTAAAGCTGGATCACTTTTTAAACCAAGGATTTCGATTTTATAAGCACTCATTTAAAGTAAGTCAATAAGAGTTCTCATTTTACTTACAAAGTTCAAGATTTACCCGGAAAAAAAAAAAGTCTTTAAAATTATTTTAATAACAACTGTTTAATTTACTTATTTCTTAGATGGAAAGCCTGGTAGGTTATTTCGGTAATGGCCTACAATTATATAGTATAACTTTGTACATATGAATTGTACAATCTAAAACATAGAAATTCAAAGACATTTCTTAAGCATTCCCTCCATGAAAAAAGGGCTGGAGAGAGACCCCCAAACTGTAGGTATTTCAAGGTATTTCAGCCCACATATCGAGACCTCTGCAGCATTCATTCAATATTAAGAGAAGAGGCATAATGTTCAAAAAGGGGCAGAGATTTCCCAGTCTTCTTGGCTCATCAAAATAGTTAAGATAAACCACACACTGAGCTGGAGATGCAATGGGACAGCAAGGCTTTACCAAGTCTGGAACACTACACAGACTTTAAGATTGTGTAAAAACTCATGTAGTCACCACTGGAAAAGGTATTCAACACAAATAAAATGTTTGAAGAAAGTGATGTTCACTTCTTTTAATACCAAAACTTTAAAAAAAAATTTAATCATTGTAAGATAAAACTTTCCAAACACGTATTACATTTGTTTATGTAATTTTACCTTTTCTTGATGACACAGAGTCATAGTACCAGACTATGATCAGAACATGATGTAATACAGTGATGTCCTCTAGGCTGGCCTGGCTGGCCTTACACCAAATGGTCGACAGGTTTTCATGGTTTTTCTATCTCCTTCCAAACCATCACTTCTGAACTGCTAATATGCTAGGCTGGGAAATCAAATAATCAAAATTTCACATAAAAACAAACATATAGAGACCTTGTGACTTATGTGGGTTGCTCAAAGGCATTTAAAAAAGAATTATTCCAGGTTTCTCAGTTGTGTTCTGTATTGATGAGACTGCTAGATTACATCTCGATGAATGAGGCATTACTGTACATAAATATTTAAACAAGTTCATCTATTAACAAAAAGATCTAACTAAACATTAGTATCGTTGCCTTTTTAAACAAAGTATTCTATAACTTTAAGGTAACACTGGGTTCCAGTTTTTTCCCCCCAGAAATGAACATAAATAAATGTCCTATTTTAATAATATCAGTTTGTCCAAACAAAGGGGGGGAAAAAAAAAAACTGAGGTGCAATCATGTCACAGTTAATGCATGTCTGCTTCCAATACATTCAAAGACAATATTTTTGTTTAAAAATCAATAGTTAAAATAGGACTTCTGCAGTCTGAGAATTCAAGATACTTAAAAAAATTTGTAAATACACATACATGCAAATTCTTCATATATACAAATTTTCACAAAATTAAGAAGTTGCAAAGAAATTAGAAGGATTACGGTGAATCTGACAAGCTACATTTAAATGCTTTACCACTGACATATTCCTGAATATAGCAGTCATCGTAGTTTTAATAAATTTTCTACATGGCCTTTTTTATAAAATTTTTTCTTTTAGACATAAAAGTTAGTCACTAGAAGTCTTCTGAAATTCTAATTTAAGAATTCAAGATGTTCTCAATTCACTACTCATATTTTAAGGCCACTTTGGTAAAGGCATTGCAGCAAGAACACAAAAACAATAGCATATTTTCTAATATTTATTTTTTTCACCTGCAAACTGTAGCAAAACATGATCAGCTTTATTATGCAGACAGGTATCCCTCTACATTTTTAAAGAATTTAGGTATGTATAAATAGAAGAGCTCTTTAGAAAGGAAAAATTCAAGAATGAATAAAACCTTCCAATTTTGACTTTGTAACTTTCCAGTAGCAATGGTTAAAATGATTTTAGGTCATTCATTCCAAGATATATGACAGCACCTTAAAAGTGGCTGATCTATTTCCCCAGTAACATTTCTCACATAACAATGTGTTAAAGTTACAAATACTGATATGCACAAATAGCTAATTTCTAAGAAAAATATGTACAGTACTGCAGCATAATGAATGTGGTATCTGCAATAACTTAATATTAGCCAATTTTTAATATACATGATACCGCTACTTTTTTCTGCCAATTCACAGGTTAAAAGTTGTAACCGGAGCCCTCTGTTTTGCACATATTACCTGGTGTTTAATACACAATGCAGGCTTTTTAAAGACTTCTCTTGTGTTTAAAGCTAAGATCAGTGAAACAAGACAACAGTGCAAGAGGCGGAGAGATGTAATGTGACCACGTAAAAGTTCGTTCCAGTAAAGTGTCTATGTAAGGCTATAAGAAAGGATTGGTTGATGAGCTTCCTGTTGGAAATTGTCCTGTTGGTGCACCAGTCTGAAGGAAAACATAAGACAATAAATAGACAAGTAAGAGTGGTATATGTGTGAAAATATGAAAAGATTAAACTTTGATTAAATCTTATTTAACGAAACAGTATTCAGATTAGAAATTATTTTGTAATTATTAGCAATCCTATTTGTTCATTACTGTTATTAGCAACTGATATAATAAAACTATTAGGTGTCAGAAACTGTGTTATGGCCTTTAATATCCATTATTTCATATAATTCTCCTAACAGAATCTAAGAAAATGCATTTATGATTCAAACCAAATCTCCGACTCCAAGCCCTTTTCACACAGTTCACTAAATCTATAGCTTTTCATAAAGCATTATTTTGACAATAGAAAAGTTTCATGCTATAAAATAGCTTATTTACTGTCAATGTTTTGATTTGCAACTGATTAATGTGTGTGTGTGCATGTGTGTGCGTCTAAGTCAAAAAGGATCATGTGTGACGGCTGCCTCAATCTGTAAAATTTTACACTGTCACATCAGTAGAATAGCAAACAGTATCTAGGAGAGTCACATCTTGCTTTTCCCAATTTGAAAATAACACATAACAACTTATAAAGTGCTTAAAATTGCATCTCACTTACCATAAAAGGATTACTAGATACTCCAGCAGCTGCAACTTGACCAAAAGGGGTTACCACTGGCTTTGTTTGTCCAAATGCTGCAAAACCTGCACCTTGTTAAAACAGAACCACCAATTATAACCCATACCTTTCAGAGACAATCTGATGCTTATAAAGCCTCCTAAGGAGTTTCAGAGAAATTTCTACCAGAGCAACAATAATAAAGTATCAATGTTTAATTGTTGAGTCTCATGCTCTTTCAAATACCAGAGACAAACTTCCTGTGGCACATGTAACAGAGCTTTCATACATACAGCTTCTCAGAAATGGTTACTTCTGATTTGTCTCAGCTATGTAAGCTGCTGACATCCGAACTAACAGATGACTTGTGACTATCTGAGACGGACTGTGAGTAAAACACAATGGTTTCATGTGAACAACACAATATCTGTTAGGAAGTATTTTATCATATGGCTCTGGCATGGACCTTATTTCCAAATTTTTATCTAACCACAGACACTAAAAATACATATACAATTATAATTTAAGAATAATCTTCAAATCTATGGACTTTCAAACTTTACCAAATAAGCTTATTGGGTAAAAAAAATCCCTGGCCTCTAGAACAAGTAACAAACTCTGACCACAATATAGTTACCTATTTGGAAAATTAGTCTATGTCTCCAACATAAATAAATAACTTACACAAAACAGCAGATCCACAACACCTTTCTGATGCAAAACAAAAATACTCAAAGTCTACAAAGTTTTGTTTTAAAATCAAGAGGCGTATTAAAACATACAAGAGAAATTAATAAGAAAGAGAGTTGGGGGGGCCTGGGTGGCTCAGCTGGTTAAGCATCCGACTCTTGATTTCAGCTCAGGTCGTAATCTCATGGGTCTGAGATCGAGCACCTCCTTGGGCTCTGCTCTTAGCAGAGAGTCCGCTTCAAGATTCTCTCCCTCTGCCCCTCCCCCAACTCATGCACTGGCTCTGTCTCTCTCTAAAATAATTAAATAAATCTTTAAAAAAAAAAAAAAAGAAAAAAGACAAGACACGGGAGATTCTAAGAAGGGGTATTCTTTAGACAGTCTCTGATTTCTCCTAAATCTATAACCTGGTCCCAAAAACTTAGCAAATCATTCAGTTTTCTAAGGCCCAAATCAATGAAGGCGTTTATATTTCTGTAGTAAACGTTTAGCAGACAGTGCACAGCATTCTCTGCACAAGCCTTTATGTCCAAACATACAAGATTATGATACATAAAGGATATCTGAAGTGGACTTACAGCTAGCCAAGTGTTAGATCTTACCATTGGGCTGTTGAGAGAAAGCTGTCTGTTGAGGGAAAGCTGCTTGGGCTGGGAAGGCAGGCTGCTGGAAGCTGCCGCTGAAGCTGGTGGGAAGACTATAGGAAGCGGGAGTCCCGAAGCCCGCGGGCATACTCATGGAGGCGGTGCCAAAGGTCGCGGCTGACAGGAAAAAGCAAGGGCTGATCACTGACACACAAAGGAGCAGGCTCTGCTCTTCATACCACACTACAGAATGATTTCATTTGAAAACATTAAGTTGTACACCAAAGGCATTTTAAATTCCAAAATGCTAACAAAGTTAGTAATAAGTTTTAACATTATACAGTTTAACACAATCTATAAAATGTTGTTCTCCTGAAACCCAATGACCAGAATGACACTAATAAAGCTATCATTTGAAATCACAAGAAAACTCAAAGTAATTAAAAGCCTAAACAGCAGTCAAATTTAAAGCCCAACATCATGCAAGTCACATGTATACTAATATACATTTCTGCTTTTAGTTTTGTTTTGCTATATTACAGTAAAATAGCCAAAAATTGAATTTTATCCACTGAATTGTCTGTTATAACGTAGTATGTTCCTGACAAAAAAATTTTACAACTTCTAAAAAATAGTTCATTGAAGATAACAAGACTTATAGGAGAAACAGAGTTAGAAGCAGGCCTCTCAAAACCTATACAGCTTTGTAACCAGAGCCCAAAGTGGGGGTGGAGGGGGGATGGCTTTCCCTAATAAAACCACTAACACAATTAAAAGAACATGTGAAGTTCTTAATACATCAATTCCAAAACAAATACATGGACCACCATATCTTGTTTGAAAGATAAATAGACTGCTTTGGATAAGGGGTTTAAGGTTAGGACTCCTGAGTTATAGATTAGGGCAAATGCATAAAGATTGAAAAGGTAGTGAAATAAGCATTCTTAGAAAAGATGGATGTAGGGTGAATTACTGCTGTGATCTAGACTGCACTGAAATCAGTGTGTTAATAACAACCACTACACATGTGGTATGCTGCCATCATTCGCCCACTTATGAATTACTTATAACCTAATCTGCATTACAGAAATTTATGTAGTAGGGGCGCCTGGGTGGCTCAGTAGGTTAGGTGTCTGACTCCTGATTTGGGCTCAGGTCATGATCTCAGCGTTGTGAGGTCGAGCCCCACATTGGGCTTTGGGCTCTGCGCAGGGCCTGCTTAAGATTCTCTCTACCCCCCCGCCGCCACCCCAGCCTCTCTCTCTCTTAAAAAAAATTTAAAAAGAAATGCATGTAGTAGCAAAACAGTTTACTACTTACTGCTAGTGAAGATTAAAAACAGAACCTTCTGAATGTATGTTCTAGAAAAAGTCTTGGTAAAGTAAGAGCCAATAATGGTGCTTTTAAGGAATACTAGCGATTACAACAGTGAAATATTGTTGGCATGATGCTATCAAAAACATGGTAATTCATTGAATTTGATTTAAAAAAAAATTTAATTTACCAACTTGCTCTCTGACTTAAGGCACAGGAATTCATCCTAAAAATGTTACACAGATTATATTTTATTTAAAAAAAAACCTGGAAGTCATATTATAGATACTGCCCAAAGTAATCTTATAATCCTATTGTTTATAACAATGCAATTTTTCTCATTGAACCTAATCAGAATGCCGAGTTTTTTGAAATTACGATTGATGAGAAAACAGGAGAAACAAAAGCTACTAGGAAGCAAGTGAATTAAAGAATAATAAGCACACTGCAAGGGAAACAGAAGGGTTTCATAACAGACAACAAAGCACTGACAAACTTTGACAAATCACTTTTTAAGAAAGCACTAAAAAGCGAAACTTGTATACAGTTAGGCAAAACCAAACTCCATGGAATAATGTGGTAAGATGGTTTGGTTTATCAAAAAGGTGTCAAAGTACTATGAATTCAAACTCAAGAAAAATAATCAAAAAAGCTATTAACATTCTAATGTGACCATGGAGGTATGCGATAATGCTTTTCACCATTAAAACACAAATCACCACAATTTTCATGTAACTTTAAATATAATGTAATCCCAATGCCACACCATCCATGCCCACTCCATTATAAAACATGGAAAAAACTTAATTCCACATGCAGGGATCCAGAACACTAGCAGAAGCTTCCACAAGCAGGTAGACAAATTGCCACACAAATCTAGGTATTAGTTGTGGCCACCTACCAAAATGAGCGTGAGGAAACACTTGAGAATGCATTGCTCCAGAAAGGCCTTATGGAAAGCCATAAAGAGACCAATGTCAATTAACTTATGGATAACTATTCAAAATAAAAGTAAACTTGTTTAATTAAAAAGTCCTAAAATTAGAATACACTGTTACAAAGTGGGTAGCATAAGAATACATAATAAAAACATATCCACAAAGTCTTTTAATTTCAACCACATTGATGACACTAATATTTAACCTGTTTGAAATAAAGGGGAAATTAGAATAATAAATACCAGAGAAATAAATACCAAATGAAAAAAAACATTTATGAAACCCATTTTTAAATAAACACTAACATTTTTTTCATGTCAAGATACAGCTATGTCCATAAAAAGACTTCGTAGGCCTCAGGAGTTACACCCTATGCTATTCATAGGATTATCTAAAATGACCTAGAATCTACCTTTTGCATCTGAAAAGTCAAATCTTGTGGAGAGCCCCTGAATGATGTTTGATTGTTTACAATTCTGCACTAACTAGAAATTCATAAAGATAACTCAAGTGAACTAATTAAGTATGATGAGGGGAAAATTATTCAGTGTAGATCATTAGAAAGGTGAGCAAAACTTGCAGTTTACAATGTAATGGCTGAAAAGAGAAGAGAATCTTACCGGGCATAAATGAGGTCAGAGAGGTTACACATAAATACGCGTAATGAACAGAAAACAAATTTAGGTTTGTAAGTACTAGAAATTTTTTGTTTGTTTTAACTATCTGGAGTGGAAATGTTTCTAAAATATATGTCCATGCATTTTAAATTAGCATACTTAACCAACTAAATGTGGAAAAACAGAATGATTGAGAGATTAGAGTGGTTAGGAGTCTTGGTTCTGTCATTTTCTAAGCACAGAAGGTTATTTAACTTCTAGAAGCTTCCATTTCCTCATTTGCAAACAGGAGGCAGAGGGATGGATAACAGTACCTACTTGACAAAGCTGCCATGAAGATAAATTTAACAATAAATTTTTCAAAAGTGCTGTAAATATTCAATGGATGTATTTTCCTTGCTAATAACTTTAAAAGATGTGTACTTAACTTAAGAGATACATCAGCACTGTGTTCTGAATTCAACAAAAGGGTTAACTGAGGAGGAAGGGTTCTATAATAAATAAGTTAGGTCACTAGGTCACTCTATGTTCATCTCCTTCTCAAAATCCTTAAGTCTCTTGAGAAGTCCTGCACTAAGAGTTAAATTGTTTATACCAGTGTTTCCCATATACGTTTGGCCCTCTTCCATGGAGTATTTGATAACATCTCAAGAGTCATGCTCTACAAAATACACTTTGGTACAAACTGACCTTTAGTCAACAGTGACTGTGAACCAATATGAACTGCCATAACCTCAGTCTGCGACAATGATGCCCTTGCCCTCTTAAGCTCTAGTCCTGGACCGCTATAAAACTTTTTTAGACTTAACAGCTTTTTGAGATATAATCCACATTATCACACTATCTGTCCACTTAAAAGTGTAGAATTTAATGCTTTTTAATATCTTCCCAGGGTTGATGGGCGCCTGGGTGGCTCAGTTGGTTGAGCGACTGCCTTCGGCTCAGGTCATGATCCTGGAGTCCCGGGATCGAGTCCCGCATCGGGCTCCCTGC